CCACATTTCTTTATTCTGTGGGGATTCTGGGCACTCGTACACCTGGGCTTGGGGTCCTCCTCAAGCCACAGGTCCCAGACGCATATCTCAGGGTTGGCCATCTGGGACCTAGCTGCCTTAAACAGCAGGCCACGGGTCAGCCCAACTTATTTTTATTCTGAACTTTGTGACCAATAAATACCCTCACTTTGTGCTCTTCCTCTTAGCAAATGAGGAGTGACTAATTAGGACTTTAAGTTTGGAAGCTTCTTTTATAAATCTGTGATAATGACTTTATGCTTGTCTTTTATATTTTAATGAACTGTGGAACACTTTGACACCAACAATCTATTAAACCCTGATTTCTTTCTTTCTTTATTGTTTTAAAGATAGTTAGGCATTTCCAGCTTTAACTGCATGAACTTTATGTCTTGTGCTCTATGGAGAAATAGTATGGAAAATATCTTGAAGTCTTGTACAGAGCAAAATTTACTTCATTTAATTTCTTTATACAGAAAACATTATAAATCATTGCAGATATGCATACACACAAATACATGTATACGCACATGTAATTTTTTTTCTTTTTTAAAAATAATTATTTAACTTTATTTATTTATTCATTTGTTTACTTCAATTTGACCAGAGAGGTACACAGTGAGAGAGTGAAAGAGTAGAAAGAGAGAGAGAGAGAGAGAGAAAGTGATAAAGCAAGCGGCCTAGTCTGAGTTTCAGCTGTGGTCGGCCATGTGGGAATCCAGAGCCTTTAACCACCACACCACCAGCCAGCCCCAGCATATACAACTTTAATGTTTTTCCCCAGCAAATATGTGTGTGTGTGTGTGTGTGTGCATACATATATATTCAAATTCACTAAACTAAGAACTACCACTCTGGAAGAACTATTTAAGTAAATGAAAGATAAGAAAAATAATTAAATTTTCATTTTTTTCTTGTGATGCTGATTTAAAATTTAAGCATACTTGTTTCTTGTTTTTGTATTTCAAGAAAACAGATATGAGGAAATCTAGATAAAATCAAAGGGAGAAAATATGATCTTCAGGGTCTACATTATCATACCATGGGAGATATGACCACGGTGTCAATAGGACAGGAATGCTTCAGCAGGCTCTAAGAAAATGCACTGACAGAAGGAATCAGTTCAACCATAGGAGATAGCTTTGCAAAGGAACCTGGGCTTTTGAAAGAGTTGTTTTTCTTTTTGCTTTTTATTTTTTAGAGAGAGAGAGATTTTTGCTATTGGGCAAGTATACTCGCCAGAGAGACAGAGAGACAGAAAGTGAGAAATCACTCTCCCAGGGAGGATGGCCATGCCGTAATCGCTTCTCTTCCCTTTTCCTCTCAGGATCTTGGGCACACACACATGCCCAGTGTGAGTTTAAGCTGCTGGGTCTGGGACTTGAACTGTGGTCAACTACGTGGGAGTCCAGTGATGTAACAATGAAGCCATCTGCTTATCCCTTGAAATGGTTTTTGAGATAAATATTTTATTTTTCTATCAGTTTTATCCCTTTCATTGACATGTAACTAGATGCTGTAGCAATTTAGGGTTTAGACAAATTGAAGAGCAATAAATGTGAATAGTAGAAAGGAATAACTTCATGAAAATAGATCTTGAGGTAAACTTAAAAAGATGAATGAAACATGGAGACCTACAAGGTAGGGAGGATCCTATTCTAAGAAAGATGAACATCAGCAAAGCCCAGGAAAGGAAACTATTTGTGAGACAGGAGGAAGTTCATGTGACGAATGAAGCATTATCAGAGAGAATTTGGAGATATGAACACATCTTCAGCATGAATAGGCCCGGAGGGCATTATGTTAAATATGCCAGGTATACAATGACAAATCTCACATGATTTCTCTCAAATGTGGTGTCCAAAAAAGGTCTTTTGGAAAGTGTGAGTGAAACAGAAGTTATTAGAGACTAGGGAGTACCGAGGGAGGGAAAGTTGGGGCGCAGTTGGTCAATGGCTACAATGTTAGAGAGGCAGATGGGATCTGCTACCCTACTGCACAGTAAGCGACTGATAGCTAATAAAATTAGGTTCTATTTCAGAAAGCTAGAAGAGAGGATCTTGATTATTGCTACAACAAAGAAATAATACATGTTTAAGGTAATGAATATGCTGATTACTGATTTGATCATTACATAATGTAAATATGTATCAAAACACATTGTATCTACCCCCAAAGTATATGTCAGTAGCTTAAAAAAATACATTGAAATCTTCTAGATTATCAGAGACCTTGAAAGCCTGCCAAAGGAAACGGTCTTTATTTTCTGACAATAATGAGAACTTTTAAATGTTATGAACAGTAGAACAACATGATTGAATAGGTATTTGAGAAAGGTTATTTTTCATAAATGCATTCAAAAGATTAGAAAAGGAAGTGGGAAAAGTTAAATCATGTACAATATTTTAAAATTCAAATTCAACACTACAAATTTCTGTAAAAGAAATGAAGTATAGATAGGATCAACTAAATAAAGTTAAGAACTGGGCTGGCAGGTGGTGAGGTGGTAAAAGGTGCTAAATTCCCATGTAGCTGACCATGGTTCAAGTCCCCAACCTAGTAGCTTGCTTTCCCGCTTTCCCTTACTCTCTCTCTCTCTGTCTGGTCAAATTTAAAATAATAACAATAACAAATGGAATTAAATAAATAAATTATTATTTTAAAAATAAAAATAAAGTTAAGAACTGATTTTAAAATTAGATTTGTAGGGACCAGCAGGTGGCGTGGTGGTTAAGGTGCTGCACACTCCCACATGGCTGACCAGGGTTCGAGTCCAAATCTGGTGGCTTGTTTTCTCACTTCCTCTCTCACTCACACCCTCTATCTCTCTCTCTGGTAAAACTAAAAAATAAATGAATGAATTAATGAATAAAATAAAATAAATAATTATTAAAAAATTAGATTTGTGACAAAATAATTCATCTATCAGTTTACACCCAAAAGAAGTTAGTACTCAATTAAGAAAAGAAAGTAAAATCTAATTCAAAAGGTACACGTTGGATGCTAAAATAAAACCATTTGTGCACATTTTAAATCAATCACATGGCGATCAGTTAGCACCTTTCATTGCTGCAGAAAACTGTTAAACCGAAGTGACTCAAAGATTTAAGCATTGACTGATCAATAACTTGTCTTATTAAACTTAAAACAGGAGTTTATTTATTTATTTATTTTTAAGTAACATAGACTAGAAAATCTCAGATTATATGAAGTGTAATTTCTTCATATTTATGAATGGAAGAATATTGAGATGAGTAAAATATATTTTAAATACTTAAAAAGAAATATAGAGTCAAAGGCTCAATGCTGTGCTTAATATCAAAATTACACTAGTTTCTTCTTATAAAATAAGTGTATAATTTTTTTTTTTTTGGAGAGGCTTTTGCTATAGGGCGCGTGCGCTTGCCAGACAGAGAGAGACATAGAGACAGAAAGCGAGAAATCACCCCCCAGGGTGGATGTGTACATCACCATCCCTTCTCCTCCCTTCTCCTGGGATTTGGGGCTCATATGCACATGCAGCCGACACAATTTTCAAGTCATTCGCCATCGGCCATGTGGGAGTCCAGCGACATAGCCATTACGCTAACTGCTGGTTCCCTATAAGTGTATAATTTTTAAGATCAAAGAAAAAAATAACTTGGGGGAGCAGTAGGTGGCAGAGTGGTTAAGGCGTTGGACTCCCACATGGCCGATGGCGAATGACTTGAAAATTGTGTCGGCTGCATGTGCATATGAGCCCCAAATCCCAGGAGAAGGGAGGAGAAGGGATGGTGATGTACACATCCACCCTGGGGGGTGATTCCTCACTTTCCATTTCACTGTCTCTCTCTGTCTCACTTTGGCAATAGCAGGTGCCCTATGTCAAAAATGTAAAAAAAATAAAAGAAACACTTGGAGATAAACATGATATACTAAAATATAGGCTATTGAAATGCAATTCATTTTTTTCATGTGTCTAAAGTACACATGACAAATAACATTAGAGGTGCTCTAGAAATACTTCCTAGGTTAGTGGGCTAATAATAAATAATATACTAACCACTATTTTTAAAAAACATAAAAGAATTTTTAGCTCATGAATATTGGCTCAAAAGGAAAACACACCAAAGCACAATAACAAAGTACATAAAAGAATTTTCTAATAAAAGCAATAATATTGTTTATAAGTTTTCATTTTTATAATTTGACCAGCATTTTCTTAATAACAATCCAGTTGTAGTTTATGTTTACATTTTGGAGATAGTTCAGATCTTGCTAGGGAAGGACATTTGGAGGAGGGATACGGAGGCAGAGCATTGACGGGATGGGGAGGTGTGGTGTTATCTGTTGAAGATATTTTGATCAACTGGATTGGGAAGAAATGCTCACATATTGAATGTTCACTTTATAAGCTAAACAATGTGATTGAATGTATATAAAAAAAACAAATAAATAAAATTGAGGAAGTAACTTTAAATAATAATATCTCTTGATAACTTTAAATTAATAATCTCTCTTGATATTTCCTCCCTATAAGCAACCACTTACCTGTCCAGCACAATTCAATGAGTATAAATAACTCCAGGTATGCCACAGTACACATGTATATAGATTCAGGCAATAATTTTTCTAAGACAGTAAAAAATTAATCTCTTTGGCCTGTCAGTCAGTCGGTCGGTCGGTCGGTCGGTCGGTCTGTCTATCTATCTATCTATCTATCTATCTATCTATCTATCTATCTATCTATCCATCCATCCATCCATCCATCCATCCATCCATCCATCCATCCATCCATCCATCCATTCATTTAGTTTAACAGAGTAAATTCCTGAAGTTGTATCAGAAGTCATCCAGAACATATTTCTTCTAAGTTCTATCATTTAAAATGTTTCTTGGTAAACAGTGAGGCTCATTATTATTAAGGAATCACTTGTAAACACTTACAATGAACAGTTAATGATACAACAACAGAGACACACAGAGAAAGCACGCAGACTGACCTCATTCACTGTGGCATAGTAGCTTTCATGCTTGAATGTGGGTGAGTTGTCATTCCTGTCTCTCACCACGATTCGCACTTCATGGTAGATGACAGTGCCCACTTTTTTATTGATGCACTGGACTTGCACCACGATGGAGTGTATGTTCATTGGTGGCTGCAAGGCAGAAATTGTATCTTTAAAACATGAAACCAAATCTTCTAATCACTGTCAACATACTCATTTTTTAAAATGCAATAATCTAGAAGTTTGTTCTTGCAATATTTTAATGCTAAAACCATCATAATTATTTTATTGTTTAGCACTTTTTTTTTTTTTTTAGAAGTTGTTGCCTTAGGTTGTATGCACTTGCCAGAAAGACAGTAAAGGAAAGTGAGGAATGGCCATGCTGCAATCCCTTTTCCTCCATTCTCCTCCTGGGATCTTGGGCACATGCACACACACCGGGTGTGAGATTCAAGCCACCAGGTTGGGGACTCTAACTGTAGTCAGTCATCTGGGAGTCCAGCAACAAAAACGCTATGACAATGTCCCTTATTGTTCAGCTTTATCTCTTAATATATGAACTTCAGGTAGCATCCTGTTCATAGTTAGAGGATTACTGATGAATATAGCCACAAAACCAATTCTGAAAATTGGTGAGATGAAGCAAAGTTTGTCTCTCCAAAGATTAAAGAACCAATGATATGATATTCTAAATTTTTTAAAAAGTGTTAACTAATGAACCCTTGGGGAAAAACAGATTATAAACTTTCATATTCATTTATATTTTTGCTAGCTTCATTTCTGATAAAACTTAAAATATAGATAATCAAGAACAAAATCAACTCATAACTCAACCAATGAATTTTACTCATTTGGCATGTTTAAATGCTTCTTCTGCTAATCTTTTCCTCTTTCCAAATAGAAGCCCATTATACACATACACACATACACATACAGTGAATATCATCCCATATTTGTAAATACAGATTTACTATAGAATTCTGGTGTATACTACTAAGAAGCTATGTTATGTAATTTAATGATACTCCATTATAAATCTATAGTATACTTTGATTTATATCTGTCTGAATAATTATGCCTAAAAAAATTAAATGGAGCCATCATTAACAAATGAAAGTCTTTAGTGAAATGCCACATAGCACTGTGTTCTGAGAGCCACTCTATTTCAGGTTTTTTTTTTTTTTTGAGAAATTTTGCTATGGGGCACATGTACTCACTGGAGAGATAGAGAGAAAGAGACAGGAAGCCAGAAATCACCCCTAAGAGCAGGAGGCTATGCCATAATCCCTTCTTCCTCATTCCCCTCTTGGGATTTTGAGCAGACATGTAACATGCCCAATGTGAATTTCAAGCCATAGAGAACTGTGGTCGCCCACATGGGAATCCAGCACCTTAACCACTACACAACCTGCTGGCCCCTCCATTTCACTTTTAAACACTGATATAAATAAAGGCATTAAAGTATAAAAGTCTCAGAATTTCAGAAAATCTCAGAAGACATGTAATGCATTCAATGACAAAAGTTGAGGTTCAAAGTCATCTTAATAAGTCAGAATAATGGTTTACAAACATGGTAAAGTTTTTACAATAGTATATAATTTATAAGATATTTTAGCCTACCAATTTGGGGCATTATAAATAATACTTCAATACACAGTACCAACATACAAGTGCCTATTTGTTTAACTATTTTTATGATAAATTCCTTGAAGTGGAAAAGTGTCATAAAGGGAACACTTATTTGCTTAGGTCCCATGGCCATCAGCTTGTACAGCCAGGTTTCACAGCTACCTCTCTGTGACTCCATAGTCAGTGCTGAACACTACACAATACTTCTTTGTGATGTTTTTAATCTCTTACCATCTTATAACATTTTCCCTTTAAATATATTATTGAAATGACTAGTCCTGATCCCTCCATCTTGAACACCTTGTTTCTAGCCTCCCTCTTTTTGACTTTCTCCTTACTTATGTGTCTTATTTTATTTCTCATTCATCACTTGGCATATTGTATATTATATTTATTTGTTCCCATTTGTCTCCCTTCACTAGACTGCAAGCCTCATAACACTTGGGGGATTGCTCTAGGCATGACTATATCCTTCAACCCCTTAACAAGCACTGTGCCTAGAACAGATGAGCATATACCACCAGGAGTCAACTGCTTCACTTCCATTTCTACTTCTATAACCTTCTGGTCATATGCCCCAGGGAGAGGTACAAAGTCTCTCTGTATCTATTAAATTCATCTCTAAAATGGGGAAAATAATTACACCAAGTGAACAATGGTATCTTGTGCTTGTCCTACTTTTAACACATGATGAAGGTGAACTATTTTTATTTATAGAAAGGCAAAATTTTAAAAATGGAATATACAAAATATAAACTAATAATCTATAAAATTAATCTATAAGATTAAACTTTATAAGATAAAATAGTAAATGTTTAGATGAAAACTTGTTTAAAACTATACCAATGATTGCTGGGAACCAAGGATAAGTTCATTAAAATCATTGCATTACACATTTGTAAATGACAAGAATGCTAGAGAAACTACATCTAAACTGGTGGAAAATGTTGTTTAATCTCAAGATATTTTTATGGCCTATAAGGAAAAGGACAGTTGAATTGATTTGTATCTGTCTGAATAGTTGTATTTAAAAAGAATAAACGTTGGCATCATTATCAAAAGAAGAGAGGTCTCTAGTGAAACGTCATTTATTCTGGTATGCCATTTATTCTGATAGCTACTCCATTTCACCTTTAATCACTAATATAAACAAAGGCATGGAAGTATAAAATCTCTGAATGCCTCAAAAGGATATAGAATACATTTAATAAGAAAAGATAAGGTTCAAAGTCATCCTAATAAGTCAGAATAATGGGTTACAAAATAGCAAAGTTTTATAATACTAAATTTAAATCCTTCAATTTGTAATAGAATAACCTCAGTCACCCAATTATTATACATGGCTATAAACCTTAATGTGAAAATATAGCCATGCTATTTTGGGAGCTAAAAGCTGATTTCACATGTCAACACATAAATGGGCTACAGGAGTACTAATGCAAACTTTATATTCATCAATAATATCAGACGTGGAGAAGTATTAGAACAGCTACCATTTTACAATGAATAGAAAGTGAAGTTTGAATACCTTGTGAATATATAATAAAATTTTAGGAGGTTTAAAAGAGTGAAGACAAGATTTGCCAGACACCAAAATGGTTGTTGTGAAATGATCTATTAATTTATTTATTGTAGTTCCAGAGAGCAGAGATGGGAAAAGTGAATCTGAGCATATATTTTTCAATGTAAGTAAGAGAAACTCTTAATCCAAACTGACATAGAACAGAATGGGTTGTCCCACATAGCAATTCCTCTCACTGAAAATCTGCAAATTTGAAGATAAAAGATCATTTAAAAAGACTATTTTAGCCAACATCAGTAGATAAGATCACAGTGGCAAGTAAGCTAATTAAAATATTTACCATTCTTGTGACCCTACCTCTCCACCCCTCCATATAAATACATCAATTCTTCTCCCTGGGGCAGGCTGATTTACCCTAGGTGCTCTTTCTCTCAATAAACTTTCCTTTTCTCTTAGAAAAAAGAAAAAAAAGGAAAAGAGAAGTTCTCTGAAAATAATTTGAATTAGATGATTTCCATTTTTACTACCAGTTATTGTTTTATTAATAGATTTTTCAGTGCAGTCTTGCCTATTTTAATTTTAAAGTGAAATACAATAAATATGCATAATTTTAGCCCTTGGCACACATCTTAGAAGACAATCAGGTGAATTACACTTTTCTCAAGTTATTTATCTCCTAAATATTACAAGAGAAACCTATAAAACCACTTCATCTCAATTTCTGATTCTACCTCGACTGGTGGCTTTGGAATAGAAAGGTCACAATCTCTGCAAACAGAGGATTAAATACACTGTACATTGTGCCCCCACTTAGCCCTGTTAAGTACCCATAAATTACATATAACCAGGTCACCAGAACTCTTGTCACTCTCAACTTAGTACCCTGTGTATCTCTTAGTAGCATGGATAAAACTTAGCATGCAATAAATTCCAACCATAATGGATCACGCTGAAGGCAAGAATTTCCTGTGGCCTATATATAACACACGTTGTAATTTGGCATTGGAATAGATTCTACTCTGCTGTATAGGAAGATCATAAATACTTCAAGTACAGTTCTACTAGGTCGATTAGTGAGGGTTTAGGGATTTCAAAATGCTTAGAAATGTGTTAGGAAAATATTGGTTTATCTTTCATAACTAATGGCAAAAATAAGTCATGGAAATTTTACTGTTACTAACTCTCTTCAATTGCCTCGTTCATGAACCAAAGAATAAAAGCTGTACATAAACTGTTTGAGGATAATTACTTAAAACAACTACCATTCATATATATATCTAGACATGCAAACTATCCTCTCAACTTAAAAATGAAAGCTTAACATAATATTCTTAGTGTATACTGGTATATTTGCCTATTAGTGTACCTGTTTTCATACGTGCATCAAGAGTGCTGTATAAGAAAACTTAATGAAACTTATCTTTGAAAAGTGGGCTTGGGAGTATGAAGTAAAAGGAGAAAATATTCCAACATACATATATACATTCTATAATTTAAAATGACAAAAATATAAAATAGAAATTTTTGTCATGAGTTTCTCAGACCGTCACTAAGGATTTAACATGCAAAGTGAAGGTTTTATAAAGTATTTACTGATGAGAACAGAATAGATTATAACTCCCATCTTCAATCTAAGGGGAACTGGGCTTTTCTAGAATTCACATTATTTGGAAGTTTTCACAACTTACAGCGGGAAAAAATTAGCAGACCTGTAGGAACTGATTTTACTTTTCATAAAGTATAAACATAATGTATCTAATCCTCACAGGAATGAATGGATTTTGTATAATTCTTTTCCCTCTGTACTTAACTACTTTTACAAAATAATCTTCATTATTTTACAAGTAAACTGGAAGACAAGGAAAGAAAATAAGACACAATGTGTTCCAGAAATTATTTTTAAATAAAGAAGCAAACTTAAAGGAAATGACTGTCAGAGCTGTGAGTGACCTTCACAAAATAAACTTTCACAGTAAATAGTAGTATATGTACAGAAATC